GTCGGGCCTCAATATGGCCGCGTGGAATTTCCTATCACAATAAACTATATGGGAGCAAACTAGAAAGCAAAGGTACTTACCTGTATCAGGAGCTAACTTCGCTCCAAGGCTTGGGCAGGCCGTGATTATGTGTAATGGTAGATAGCGAGTCGTGTACAGTGAGGTGTGAATGTGTGGGGCCTTGGCAAGCATAGGCGACCAGCAGCGGCTGAGTTCCAGGCTGCTCCAAAATGCTGCATCGCTCCAGACTGCTTCAGCGCCGGACCACTTCTTTCTTCACTGTCACTATTCGGTCTCTTAGCTTCATTGTACATTTAACTAACTTCAATTCGCCTAATTCCACACTCATCGCATAATCGAACACATGATATCCGACACGGCAAGAACAGTAGTACAAAATTCGACATTGAATGTCCCGGATTCACTTATCACAAATTATAAATTCGGCACCAGAATAACACGTCGCGCCAGAGTCAAAATACGCCTCGTTGACACGCAAATTAATTTAACAAGGCACCAAAACACAAAAAGCACTAACGCGACGACCCAATTATAACGATATCTTCATCTAGCTATCTAGATCCACGACGAGCCCGTGAATTTAGGGAAGAGGGCTTGACAGTCTCCCCGCATCGTGGCCGGCGGGGCACCGACGCTTCGCGCACACTTCGAGCGACTGACTGCCACGCAGCCGCCCTACCTCGGCGTTTTTCTCACCTACATACCAAATCAGGTGAGGCGCTAGCTCGAACGCCATTGGATGGCGTACAAATTACCTTTTTTGCCTAAACAAACCTCCGTCCCGGACATAAGGACTTAAGTCCGCGAGCAAACCGATATGCGGGATAGGGTCGCAACGGCATGTTGCAATACCGAATCTACAACCAAAACTAGGCCACCTTAGACATCCGATCTTGCAACCCTAGCCACCGCCTCAAAAGACAGCCCCAATGTGGGCAAGCCGGAGGGTCAGCCACGCGTCGAGCGACTGACTGCCACGCAACCGCCCTACCTCGGCGTTTTCTCACCTTCATACCAAATCAGGTGAGGCGCTAGCTCGAACGCCATTGGATGGCGTACAAATTACCTTTTTTGCCTAAACATGTGATGTGATGGAATCTACATGAAAGAGACCTGTATACCCTTTTGTGCATAACTAAATAACAATTTTTTAATATTATACAAAATATAGTTTCTTTTTTAAGTCGAATCTGAGATTGGTTAAACTTTGGACCATACTTAAACTGTCTGTTAAAATTTAAAAAATATTAAAACTATTTATATGTGCAATCCTCTTCAGGGCCTCGAGGGCCACATATACCTCTGCAGTAAAAACACTGCATTTAGGGTCCAAAAGAAAACTTTGACCAAACTTAGATTGGGGATCATAAACAGCACTGCGCACAAAGAGCTCACTTTTGCTACCATCTGTATACAAAGTGTAGTAGTTATTGTCGGAAAGAAAACTTAATAATTCACAATTATTAAAATTTTTTTTGGTAACAATATTGGTCTCAAATATAATACAGGAATATGGGTATGTGTAGCATGTCCACTTTGATTGTTTAATTACATTTTTAAAATCTTCATTCATTTGCTGTACAATGAGAGGCAGAACTGGGAAATAACCTCGTAAAAGCTCACCTCCCGAAGTCTGCTGGGCCGAGCATTGTACAGGAAAATGTACTATTTTTTTGAGACCATTATCATTACCAGATAACAGCTTTAGTAAATATCTCTCTATTAGCAGAAGTCTTTTAAGACACAGTGGCATTATGTTGGTTTCAACTTCCATAGCTCGTAAGGGAGTTGAACACATAGCCCCAGAAATAATTCGCAGAGCTTTGTTTTGAATTATGTCTAGTTTTTTTACACAACTACTATTTGAGTAGGCTAAACAACTGTAGTCGAAATGGCTTCTGACTATAGATTTATATAGCATACTTAAAACTTTGGGGTCTGCACCCCAAGTCACACCAGCTAAACATCTTATAATATTTAAGCCCTTAAGAGAGTTAGTTATAATGTGTTATCAATGACAACACCCAGGAATTTATGGTTAGATACAACTGAAATTGGATGATTATTGTAGAGTATGCCATTAGAGGGAAAACTGTGACCATGGAGAATATTATTATGCCTTATATACAAAGTTCTGTTAAAAAATTAAATAACCAATGGCAAAGTATGCCTGGTATACCAGTGTCAGAAAGAACTTGAACCAAAATGCCAGGATCTACATTATCAAACGCACCTTCAACATCCAGAAAAACACAAACACTGGACTTATTATTATTATTGGCATATTTCAGATCTGACAAGAGAGAGATGAAGCTGTCAGCACAACTTCGCCCTCTCCGGAAGCCATATTGAACATGTGGAATGATGTTGTTCGCCTCTACATAACTCTCAAGACGCATCTTTATCATGTTTTCATTAAGATATCTAACACAAGATGACAAAGATATGGGACGATATGAATTAGGATCTTCGGGTGGCTTGTCAAACTTAAGTAGATGATTTACACACTGTGTTTTCCAAGATTCAGGAATTTTTTTAAGTGCCAAAGAGCATTAAGATTAGCTAATAGTTTCTTTAGAACGGACTAATTTAGGTTTTTGATCAAAATGTATGGACAATCGTCTAAACTAATATTAAGGAGCCACCTCTTAAAACCGTATCTCTATTGAAAGGACTGACCACCTGGTGATTACCCAAGTTAAACATTAAATTATAAGCTTTTAACCAATGTTCAGTAATACATAAAATATGAATATTGTTGCTATTTAAGAACAACTCAATTTCTAGCTCTTTGCCTATCATGCCTTGTATATTTTGATGCACCAGGTGTAAACAATTTTCATTATCTTTCTGTGGAGTCATACAATTAAAGATTTGTAAGCCACATTCTAAATTATTTAAGTTATTATAACTGCTAGAGATTACCTCTATTGTCTCATTTTCTAATTAAAATTACTTGGAACTGATCCCAAATTGCATATTAAGTCATTAAACTGCTCAAAAGAAGCAGATGTCTGTGTAGCCAAGTCCTTGGCTGAGTTAATATATAAATAATATGATAGCACATTTGCTATCTGTCATAAATTATATTTTGATACGTAATACCTATCTCTAGTCAAAAATTTCTTAATTAAATTATTTATATCTATTAAATTAATTATATCATTATAATTGTAACAATTAAATGTCAAGTTTAAATTATTATTACATGAAAAGTTATTCATTAATAAATTTAAATCATATCTTATTTTATTTTCCTGCGACCAACCCTGTACGTAAGGCAATGTAAACAAGATAATTTTATGTACATTTAAAGTATTTAGATTATCAATATATTTTAATAATTGATTTTTGTTTACATTGCCTCTTCTCCCAACAAGAATTATTAATGTGCTATTAGGACAAAATTTACTAGCTAAAACTTTATTCATTATATGACTAAAGGATGCTCCAGGCATGCAATAATGAGGGCTAATAATCTTCCACTCACCAGATGTCGCTAGTTGTGACTGAGGTAAAGTTTTTGTAACATAATGTCAGTTAATTGAGAAATTAGTTTTAAATAATAGTTTATCATTATCTAGAATATTATACTATTACACAACACAATGCGTCAGAGGTTTGATTTTTTTAATTTTTTGCACTTTATAACTCTTTAAAAAAAAAAGGCTTTTAGTTATATTTTATAGTTTAGTTTATTCATTTCTAATGTAATTAATATAAAATATAACTAATAATACAGAAAGAAATTTAAATGTTACATTTTCTTAAGAAATTATTATCCCCGCTATGAAATCTGTCAAATATTTTACCTCACTGTAAAGTGGCGCCGCTCTGGTGGCAGAAAATGTAGTGGATGCCCTCATTACTGATCAGATGTCCTTTTAAACAGTTATTTAACATCATGCCCAAATTTTTGCCTATGTCATCACAATACATAATAACTTTATTTTTTTAAATATTTACATTGCTTTATAAGTTTATATCCTTTGTCATGGCACTGTCATAGAGTGTAGGTGAAAATAATGAGGTCTTACTGTTAACTTTGTTATTTAGACATATTGTCCCCGACGAACCTGATATGGAGCGCTGATACTCACTCTGATTTTTTATTAAGGAGTCAAAGCGCTCCTCATTATATTTACATGATTTTACCAGATCATTCATGGCCAATATGTGTTCTTTTATCTCTTCTTGAGCCGATGCATATTTATTTGATACAATTTGTAGAGAGCTTTAAAGTGATAAAATTGTTGAATTTAGACACTCTATATCAGACTCATAACAGTGATTCATATTTTCCACCTCAATTGAATATAATATTGACATATAATATTGAATACCTAATATTGACAGAGTAGTAGGAAAATGAATATTTTTGCTTGCATACCAAATATCTTTGTTTACTGTACAATAAAATATTCTTTTTATGACTTTCTTGACAGACTATAGTAGATATTGAGTAAATGATGTGGTTTAACGTTAGTAGAATTTGGTATAATTTTGCTGCTCTGTTTAGTAGATTCGTCAAATAAAATCTGGTCACTTTGTATTGTTTGATTTTAATTGTTTTTGTTTGCAAACATTCGCGTGGCCGTGGTTAAAGTTATGTTTATTTGCATTTAACATCTTCAGGCTAATTCTGTGATACCTACCGCTAAAAAAATTCAAGGTCCGTATTCGTATATCTATTAAGTTATTACTGTTTTACTATGTGAATGCATTTTAGATTTCATTACACCTTAAAATCTGGTTTCAAGTTTGGTTATTGCACACAATCAAGTTCAAGGTTGGCTTCGGACGCAAAACAGGTACTTGTAGAACCGTTATCAAAGAGAATATTATAATTACACCGTTATAATGTTACTAAATTAAAAATCATATATTTGAATAGTTTACAGCCTTCGTCATAATTTAGATAAACAAAATTAACTAGTTGACAAATAAAAAATTAACGTAATATTTTGATATTGTTGCAGATGGGCTACAAAATGGGTGAATTAAGAAATAACAGTCTGTATGACCGTGTCAACAAACTTTTAGTATCTTATGAATGGAGTGACTGCACCTTTTCCGTATGCGAAAAAAAATTTAAGGCTCATAAATTAATACTAGGAATAAGCAGCCCAGTATTCGAGGCTATGTTTTATGGGCCCCTCTCAACTAATAGTGATATTGTTATAACTGATATAGAACCTAATATATTTCAACAATTGCTTAATTATATTTACACGGACAAAGTTGACATCACATCAATTGAAGAAGCTTTTGAATTATTATATGTTTCAAGAAAATACTTACTTGAACACTTGTCAGAAGTATGCATAGAATATGTACAGTCAAATGTAAGCATTGATAATGTAATAACTATTTTGAACTATCCTGATTATATGCAAGACAAACAATTACTTTCATCTTCTCTTCAGTTATTCTGTGAACATGCAAATTTCTTGCTTCAAGAAAATAAAAAAAGAATTTCAAGTTTTTGTCTTCAGAAGATTCTTACAAGCGATGATATGAATATATCAGAAAAGGACTTAATAAAATTTGTTTTCGATTGGACTGTCGATTACTGTGAAGCTAATAATATTTCCATAAACTTTAAAAACAGACGTGAAGTATTAGTACAGAATGACTTTTTAAAATTACTACGATTTTTTACACTGTCCTTAAATGATATAGATGAAATTATTTTAGATGATAATAATTTACTTTTACCACATGAAAGTGAGAACATAAAACAAGTATTAAGCAAACAAGTATTAGAGATACCTGATTCACTCAGTCTTATTACAGTTCCAAGACATTCATTAAAATTGCAGTGGAATTTTTGTCATCGCAGCCCAGTTCGATCAGCTACTCCCATAATTATAGATTCAAATCATAACTTTATTCAGTGCAGGTTAAAAACTAATAAATCCATATTCATAAATAATCTCAATATACCATCTCAAATGGCACCAGTAATAAATTATTGTCACAATACTCTTAAAATGTACCACGAACATATCTCAATTTCTTTGCAATGTGAATCTGACAACAGTATTATTGCACATTACAATTTTAAGGATAAAGTAGAATATGATTCCAATATTGATATAGAATTCAAGGAGCCATGTTTTATTAAAAAAGACAGTTGGTATAAAATATGTTTCCATTGGCCAAGGCACGACAGATATTATTCATTTTCATATGGAATTCAACGTAGAGACACATTGTATACAAGCAATAGAATTCATTTGAAGTTTGAAGACTTATGTTCAGCTTCTGATAACTATGGTAGTTTTCTTAGAGGATTAAAATTTTGCCTATGACATGTTCGTGCCATTTTTATTTCAGCTAATTGTGTGCATGATAGTTTTAAGGATTAGTTTTAAAATTATTAACAAAATATGCTACTATTTATTGGATTTATAATATTTATTTAAAAATAAAATTTAGTACATACCTATTTAGTTTTATTTGATTACCTAGCTCTGAAAAAATGTAAGTATGTAAATAATTACAAAATAATCATAATAGTGGAATGATTGTAAACAATTAATATAATAAATGAGTCAGATCTTTAAACAAATCATTTATTGTACTGTATACATTCAAATAACTTTAATGAGTACATAAAATAAATAAATAACAATAATTTAAATTTCTTAGTGAGGTGGACCTTCGAATTTTTTAGTTAATTGTATTATGCGTTCTGCTTCACGAATACCACTTAGTCTTGCACCATGTGCTGTTGCAAAATATCCAGGAATTGTTGCCTCGCCTGCAAAGAGCAATATTGGAGGCTGTGGGTCGCAGGGTCCTGGGACTGGAGTGCCTAGTTCACACTGATGGCTTACACTTGAACAACAACTCATATAAGAGTACGCGCCGCAGAAATGTGGGTCAGAAGCCCACCGAGAACGTAACATCATTCGGGGATACGGGAGACAAGGATTTCCGGTAAAACGACGCAGAAGCTTGGTCAATCCCTCGGCAACATCATTATCAGCCATTGATTCCATTGCGGCTGCTTCTTGTCCAGAAAGCCAAGCACATAAGACATGCTTGCTGCCAGGCAATTCGTCAATTGCACAAACACCGCTAGTCCAATCCTTTCTGCTTTGTAGTTCTTCAGCTGACCAAGCCATTTTTAGGTTACCCTCGTTGCCCACCCAAAAAGGTTCTTTATATTCGAAAAATACCTTATCGCTGAGTCCAAATCCCAAATTGCATATTGCATCTAACTTGCATGAAGGAAGTGGTGGAGAAAATAGTTTGTCAGCTTGACATTTGAGACATCCAAGCGACACTGTTACTATAACATAGTCCGACGTGATTTCCTCCCCATCGCAACACTTAACTAGGGCGCGACCAGAGCCTGCCTTTCCTTGACCCCAACGTATAACATTTACTGCTTTGTTATATCTTACACTATTATCCGGTAGCCCACGCAGTAACGGAGCTAATACTCCAACATAACCCAGCGGTACGCGAACACTTCCACCAGGTAACTCAATATAACTGCCATACTGGTCGGCACTAACAAGAGACAAGTCATCACCGCATCTGTTTCTTAAAATATTAGTTAAGCCGAACATAACTCGTGCGGCATCGTATCTTTGTTCTTCAGGAAAGTTATATAGCTCCTGCTGTATACGTAGGCCAATAAAATTTAGCAATGTGCCATGCATTTTTTCACCGCCTAGACGAAATAAATTCGCAGCTTGCTGTTCTATTTGCCGAAATGTGTGATAAGCCGTAATTGTTACCGGTAAATCTACAGCACGACCTTCACTAGTACAAAATAAGCCGCGCGACGCATCTAGACGATTTAAAGGTGCTTGTAACAACCGATCCTGGGAAGCTAAAGTGTATACAGAATTAGGCAAACAAGCACCATGAATCCACTCTGCTCCCAATTCTATAACCGCATCTCCAAGCCAACAAGAATGAATACGTCCTCCGGGTCTGTAAATTTTAAAGCAATGCGGTTTTATTGTGAATAAGTACCTATTAAAATAAAAAAATATGCATTTCGATTACTCCTCTTGATTACCTCTCTTTTGCCTCCAAAACAAGAAAATTACATACACCACATTGAGTTAGTCGATGTGCCGCTGAGAGACCTGCTATTCCGGCGCCTATAATAATAACCCGTGGTTCGCGACAGTTGGGTTTTATGCTACATGAATCAAGGATACATTGTTCCCGCCCAGTACTAACAACATTGTTTATCTTTCGATGCGGGGTTGAAAACGCTTGCAACTTGCTTAATTTTTGTAAACGGTTTAATGTGGTTAGTAAACTTTTTGAGCATAACAATTTCATACGTGATAATTTCATAATGATATTTTTTCAATGGTTTCATCACACCATTAAGCCATATAATACATTTTATAAAGTCACTGATGATTTCGGAAGAGAATTTTGATATATTTACTGAAAAGACAGCTTATGCCATTACAGACTAATAACTATCTTCTTTTTATACTTTTTAAATGGCCAATATTTTATTTTAGTTATTTAAGAGCTTCTATCAGTTTTCCACAATAACCATTTCTCTAGTTTATATGAGAATCTATATTATATAAGTTGTATATTAAAGTACTCTGTGAATTAAACTATTAAATATATACATACCGCAAATTTTGCTAATTTTATCTCTTTCATGTTATTCCTCCCTCAGACCAACAAAGAAGGAAGACGGCGCGCTGAATAGGTACAATGAGGGCTAATAATTTTCTGCTCACTAGATGTCGCTAGTTGACACTGAGGTAAAGTTTTTGTTACACAATGTAATTTAATTGAGAAGTTGTTTTTCAATAAAAGTTTATCAGTTTCTAGACTATTATATTAATACACAAAACAATGCGTCAGTGGTTTGCTCTTTAATTTTTTGCACATTTTTTTTATAGGATCGGGTGACAAACGAGCACACAGTCCACCTGATGGTAAGTGGTTACTGTGACTCATAGACAACTACATCTATCCTCAATAAAGACTCAAGATGCAGATGCATTGTCACCCGTGAGGACTAAGATGGAATGCCTCTTTGCCAGTAAAAAGGGTTTCCGGTTCTCTACACTCACCTTACGAAACACAGCAGCGTTAAGCTGCTATTTTACGCTGGTTTTCTGTGAGAGCGTGGTCCTTCCCCGGTCGAGCCGACCCATTCGTGCTACAACCGTAATATAGCTGCCGCATGGCTCTACCACGTTCAATTTTTTTACTTCTTTTTATTTTTTTTTACTTTTACGAATATATGTAGTTTTGTTTATTCATTTTTAATGTTATTAATATAAAATATAGCTAATATTACAAAAAGAAACAATAACTTTTACATTTTCTGAACAAATTAACTTCCCCGCTATGAAATCTGTCAAATATTATACCTCAATTTCTAGTGGCGCCGCCCTAGTTGCAGAAAAAGTCGTGGATCGCCCTCATTTAAGTGATACAAAAATCGGGTCAAAACTACAAAACTTTGCTAAAATTATTGTAAGCAATAATTTACGTCCACTTACACATATGCGTCTAAAATCATCTACACAATATAGTTTTATGTATGTGTGCTTCCTGCAGTGAAATTTTACAGGCCGATAAAAAAGAAAGAAGAAAAACATGTGCTTGCGGACGGATCAAGAAGTTGAGCATGTTTTCCGAGTCACTTGAATGTAGAATCTACTAGTTAGTCTGTGCTTGAATCTTGCTACATATATATTTATTTATGGCTTGAATGTACGCAGCGCTCCGTCTATCATTGTTTATCTGCCTGAGATTTATTCTACCTTCGAAAATATTAGAGATATTTTGCCTGCATGTGTAAGAAGGTAGGTATATCATCAGATTTACTAAATAAAAAATGAATTGTAGTATAAATATTTTACTTATAACCACCTATAACAATAAATAGATATACATCACAGCAAATAATATTTTCTAAATATCAGGTAAACATGAAGTCTCTACTACTACTAATAGATTACATTATCTTTGACAACAACTATATTACTTTGAAGTACGATACAACATTCTAATATAAATACTTAATTTGGATAGTCACACATAGAACATAAAGACAATTTAACAAGGACATTTTATAAATTTATAATATTACGTTACATTAAAACATTGTGAATTGGACCGCAGAGCAACATATTAAGGCAATATTATATAGATACCTAAATTTCACGAACCTTAAATTAGGATAAGATTCAGGAATAAAGATAAAATGCTTAACTCTTAAGCTTACCTAAAATTAATACTGAATTATCTATCTGATAAGAAAAATAACAATGCAATTTCACTGCACGTTAATTAACTAAATTTCCGTTATTGTCAAATTGTTAACTTTTAAATCATAATTTGATCTTAGTATTATTAATGTCTTTTTAATTATAAATCACATATATAAATTTATTTATCAGAAGATTAAAATTTAAATTGGTTTTATATGCTTAATATTACTTACAAACTAAAGACAAGGTTGAGGATAAAATATAATAAATGAATTAATAAACTCAACTGTTTACAAATTTCAGTAAAAAATATTTCTTATAACTACGATATAACAATAAATCAGAATCTTCTACACATTCAAAAATAGATAATGTTAATATTAACTTCATTACGTAGAGTTTATTTTAAAAAACCTAATAAATTATAGAAAAATAATTGTTGCGAATAAGATTTTAAAGTAAAATATACCTATTTATTAATATTGTCAGCATAATGATCTGAATAAGTTTATCTAATAAAATTAATTTAAATCAACTTATTATAGTATATATGCTCAAAATTTTTTTAAATGGTGTTTATGACATCTTATATAATTAGCAGATATAATAATAATTATTGATATACGATATAATATATTAATAATTTTATTTTTAAAATAGTTTAAGTGGTCATTAGATTGAATATTTTACCATAACGATGAATAGCAGTAGGTACTTGTTCTTGAGAGGCATATTGTTTGCTGTTTAGTTTACTTTAGAGCTAGTATTTCGTCGGCAGAGATTTTTACTTCTTCCCACGATATATGAATGTCACTTTCTTCAGAGAAACGCGAGCAAATGGCTAATCTTAGGAAATAAACATCGTCAATCTTAGAAGGTACCAGATGAATTTTCCCGCGACCGTTTATGCGCCTCAACAACTCTTCGTTAATCTCGTTGCTTCCTTTAAGTCTAAAGCATACAAGTCCCATAGTCACTTCTTCAACTATTTCAAATCTGTCATCAGATGAGCATAACTTCTCAAAAAGGTGGGCAAGCGCAATGTGCTTCCTGATGTGCTTCTGAAGGTTTTCAACGCCATACAATCTCAGTACAAACCATAATTTTAATGCTCTGAAACGACGCCCCAATGGAATTTGCCAATGGCGATAATCCGGTGCTGAGCCTTGTTGGTCATGCTTTAAATACAATGGGTCAACATTAAACGCGTCGACAATCCAACGTGGTTGTTTAAGCCACATCGCCGAACAATCGAAGTTAACAAGCATCCATTTATGCGGATTGAAATTGAAAGAATCCGCTTTTTCTACACCTTTCATAAGATAACGGTATTCGGGACAAATGAAAGCTGAGCCAGCGTAGGCAGCATCCACATGTAACCAAACATTTCGAGACATGCAAACGTCGCCTATTTCGTCAAGAGCATCAAACGTACAAGATGATGTGGTTCCAAGTGTGGCTACAACCTAAAATTAAATAAGAAATTAAATTAAACTTTTCAGATAAATAACAAAAAAAATCAATATTTTTCTTTTAATTTTCACGACTAGAAGCTATCGCGTGTTCTATTTATTGCTTTAGTAAGGATATTAACGTCAAGTCATATAAAATAGAGAATTAAGTCGCACAAAAATGGATTAAATTGACTTTTAGATTCATTTTAAAATTTTCAAGTTATTAGTAAAACTATTATTGATGGCTGAGTATCTTTTAAATGATAATGATGGCAGAGAGAAACTCACATAAAAAGGTATAAGTCCTTTATTAATGTCTTCATCCATAGCTTCCTGCAAGATGTCGCCACGTAGTCGTCTCTTATTATCAGGCTTTAAAGAGCGCATCTTTACTCCCCCCAAAAGACCAGCCCGTTCAACCGATGAATGTGCTTGCTCTTAAAAAAAAGGTAAAATGTATGATAGAACCCTCTCAGAAATGAGAGGAGGCCTGTGCCCGGCAGTGGGACGTGAATAGGCTGCAACTTCACTTCAACTTCACTATGATAGAAAAATGTAACATGATAAAACATTGGCGTCCTTCCTAACTCCTAACTAATAGGGTTTTCAACATAACATTGTAAGGACATTTCTTCTTTTTTTACTTATATTATTTGATAGAGTTAGCTTTGGAAAACATCTCTGAATCAAAATTATTAAATAAACTGTGATATCTAAGTTGAAGGCATCCGTCTTAAGGCGCAGGTTGAGCAAAATGTCGCGCTAATCGTTATTTGGGCGGTTTTTAGAAGCTATCTACTTTTTATTTAAAAGATATATCAACAAATAAAAAACACATTATATTTCTACATAATCTTGATTCCATAAAAGCTATATCCAATTTTTTTTTAAAGGAATAAATATTAATATAATCTCCTTACAACGAAACCACATAAATGTGAAATTATTATTGATAACATGCATCTCCTCGTAAAGTAAGTATTATTTTATTTTGTGATTTACACCAATGGATAGGCAATTTATTAATGAACATTTCTATAGTAAATTTTTTTTCAAAAGACCAATATTTGATTTTATTAAGAAATTATTTTAAAATCTGGGCATATTTACTGCTCACGGGCTTGCTGAAGTCAGTGAGCGCTGAGCTCTTCGACGTGAAGCCCGTGTCGTTAGAGCGTCGACCAACGCATACGCCACGTCATATGAGTCGATAATATTATTACTTATTAGGTTATTTATAGGTAGTATTATTTGTTTGTTTTGAGTATAATTTTTCGTATTAGTTATACATATATTTGTTGTGCTTTTTACTGCGCGATGAAGCTTTTTGCGTGTATTTTCTTTGAAGTAAATGCAAATAAAAAAATGAAGCACCATTAGCATGTAAGGTTCGAATCCATAATTAAAATTTCGACAAATATTATAATTTACACTATAAAAGGCTAATTCAATATTATCACTCAACCACAATATCTTATTAGGTATAGTACTGCCTCGTTGGTCTAGTGGTTGTAGTAGTGCGACTGCTGATCAGGGTTCGAATCCTGGGTCGGGCCAAAAAGTCAGTTATGAGTTTTTCATTTATGTTCTAAGTTATAATTAGTATTACTAAGTTATAGTTTTTTGCTAAAATATAGTATATTATTTATTGCTTGTTTTTTCTTCTTTTTAAAAAAATAATTGAGTACATAAGGTGTTCTATACTTATAATTCGGTAAAAAGTATCTAAGTAGGTACTAATATACCTACTTTTTACTATAAACTAAAAATTTTTAAAACTAAATTTAACTAAAAAGACTAAACTAACCATTTATTTTTTAACTCATAACAGGACATGGGTTTATTTATACTCTAAAAACTATAACTTTATACAATTAGTGTTCACTATAAAATTATATTCGGTATAGACGGTAATTATTAAATGCAACATATTTTTTTTAATTATTAATTACATTTGTCAGTGGATTAAATTTGCTTTAATAAAGTTGGTGATGATTTTAAATAAGAATAAAATTCTGCTCAAGTTTTTTTATTGTTATCTTTGTTAACAACATCGCCTTTAGAACTCTGGAACCGTAAGTGTTTCTTTCAGACGTCCACAATTTATGCAAAATAAAAAAATACTCTTTCTACCGGAGCATTCGTACCAGGTAGACATAAAATATATTCGATTAAAAAAAACTATGTTGAAGATTGTTGACTTTGAATACTTCCATCCAACGAGTTACGGGACAATTTTGTGTCCCGGAGCTTTGTTTGGGGACAATGGGACAGGAGACCGAGAAAAGGGACAGTCCCGTTCAAAACGGGACGTATGGTCACTTTAGCTATAACCCGGCGACCATGAAGCAAATACAAAGTTAGTTTTTGTATTAGCTTCATGGTGGCGCAGTGGCTTAGCAATCAGTTGTTGCGCTGGGGGCCGCGGGTTCGAATCCCGCATGGAACAAGTATTTGTATGGCCTACAAATAATTGTTCCGGGTCTGGATGTTTGTCTTTGTGCAATTTATGTTTGTAAACTGCCTCCACGACACAGGAGAAAATCCTAGTGTGGGGGTAACGTTTTTTTACAACTGAAATTGAAAGATTGAACCCTTATACTTCTTGTTGATTTTTGTATTACCTTTATTAAAGTTACCCTTATGTATAAATAAATATAATTACGTATGTAGAAATAAAATTGATTTTCATCCTCATCAATCATTGGGGTGAGGATAATATCTGCTAGCATAATTAATAAGCAGGCTAAGTTACAAGGTGCTCAGTTCAAAAATTAGTAGGTAACTTTTCAATACGTGACACGTAAAAATTAACAATAATCAAAAACACATATGCGAAACATCCTATTTATTTATTTATTTTTTATTGCACCAAATATTTGTACAAAAGCCGAGCTATCTATTTATTTACCTATAATGAATAGGTATCTTTTAAACTCACAATTTTCAATGCTTCAGTTTTAATATATAATTAATTATAAAATTTCATAATTAGATAATATATGAAAATACATAATTCTAATATAATGCAACTAATATATACAGAATAAAAAAATTAAAATACATTTATCTTTGTACGCTATGTGTGTTTCCATAAAATAGTTTATTGATGTTGAAAAAATAATACTACTTTCGTACAATAGGTGGCGTCTTACATATTTCTTCCGGCGAGCCGCTCGCTACAATATTAATATATTAGGTCAAATGCTCAAGGTCGTTCGCATGGAGTAGCCCCTGAAAGTTGGGTCCGTGTCGTGAAACCGTTGAAAAGATATCGCGCGGAAAAACTTTTAAAGAATAGGTTTTTAGCAAAAATATTGCTGACGGGCTGTGCCTAAACGACCGACGACAAAAACTCACGAAATCACCATCTCGTATTCCCGCGTTTCCTCCTCCAAAACTAGGCTGATTTAATTTTTTTTTCAAGAACGATATGAGCAGGATTTTGGCTATGTATGTATGTTTTTCTTTGAGTTTAACTGCACTTTGCCCCGGCTTCGCATGGGTAGCACTAAGAAGCTAGGTTAGTCAAGTTGACTTTCTACAATCGTTAACGCTTATAGAAAACTATTAAAATATATCAAATAATCTATAAGTCTCTACCATTCACATCACACTTCCTAATTAACAGTTAGGGCTTGGAGCAATGTTCGTAAGTATCTCTGATCTAGATCTATGTATAGTTTGCGATTAGTGAATAGTCCTCCTCACAGCCCCCCCCCTTCCCCCCTAAAATTACAGACATTCTGTATCGGCGAAAATCGCTATGGCTACTCCCCTGCAGTCGGTCGATGGCGCGTATTGCTCTATGGATAAAAGTTATGCATCATCTAAATTATAACCTGGCTATTGTGTTTCTAGATTTTAAAGAAACGCTTAATTATCGACATTGAAAATTTTCTTTTATCATACCCACATTTTTTACGTGGTAGAGCCGCGCTGCATCAATGATATATTGATCATGATCATATCATAGCTGCAGAACCAATGGGTCGGCTCGACCGAGGTAGTACCACGCTCTCACAGAATACCACCATGAAACAGCAAAATAGTGAGCGTAGAGAACTAGAAACCCTTTTTACTGATAACGAGGCACTCCATCTTGGTGAAAATTGATTATTAATCGATGATAAATGGTAGATGTCTATGGGCCACAGCATCCACTTACCATCATGTGGACTATCTGTTCGTTTGTCATCCTTATTTTATAAAAAAAACCCTATTGATATTATTATTTATTTATTTATTTTATAGGAGAGGGGGCAAACGAGCATGCGGCTCACCTGATGGTAAGTGACTACCGCCGCCCATGAACAACTGCAATACCAGGGGAATCGCAGATGCGTTGCCGGCCTTTTAAAAAGGAGTACGCTCTTTTCTTGAAGGTCCCTAAGTCGTATCGGTCCGGAAAAATCGCTGATGGTAATCGATTCCACAAGGAGGTCGTGCGAGGAAGAAAACATCTTCTAAATCGCACAGTGGTGGACCGCCAATCATCCAGATGGTGTGGATGGTATCGGGAGTTCTGCCGCGATGTGCGTTCGTGAAATTTGGCGGCTGGGATTAATCCGAACAATTCCTCAGAGCACTCCCCATGGTAGATGCGAAAGAAAATGCAAAGGGATGCAACATCCCTTCGCAGTACCAATGAATCGAGCCGATCGGAAAGGGCTCGGTCGTCGACGATTCGAGCAGCTCTGCGTTGGATGCGGTCAAGTGGAAGGAGCTGGCACTGGGGAGCCCCTGCCCAGAGATGAGAACAGTATTACATGTGAGGCCGAACTTGCGCCTTGTAAAGTTGCAGGCGGTGTGCCGGCATGAAATACTGTCCCGCTCTGCTGAGCACGCCAAGCTTTTTAGAGGCCAATTTGGCCTTCCCTTCCAAGTGACCACGAAACTGCACGTCACTCGATATGTCGACTCCGAGGATACCGATACTGGCTGAGGCAAGAAGGGGAGTGCCTTGAAACTGAGGAGATACGACAAAGGGGTTCTTTTTAGCGGTAAACGCGCAAACTTGTGTCTTCTGAGGATTAAACTGGACTAGATTTAGTCGCCCCCAATCCGAGACTTTGCTCAGCAAAGACTCGACTTCAGACACAAGTTTGTTCCGGTACTCAGCGACGTTTTCCCGAGAAATATTGGCACGGCCGGTGTATAGAGCATCACCAGTGCTATCATCCGCATAGCAATGAATGTTACCAGTTAATATGTTAATACTTATGACTAAAAATTATCAAAATAAAGCATGCTTACTGTTACAATAAGCTACGAGTTTCGAAAGAATTTCAGTGTCAGTCCATTCAGGGTGTTGTTCTTTCACTTGTTGCATTATTCGCGCCTTCGCCCCGAGTAGGGCAACTAACGTAGCCTCACTTGCGGTGCCTTGAATGACACCACCGGCCTCGCCTCCAGACCGTGCTAAAAATTGTTCAGGTAGACCGAGCATCTGACCCAACCAATCCAGCATTACTACCTCCAGTTCTGTGCATGCGGGGCTCGCAATCTAGAATATAAATTTATTCAATTTGTTTAATATGCAATTTTGCATTACGTAAAGGAATTCTTATACTCAATTTATTGGTTAGTGCTAACTACATTTATATAAGCGATGACAGTTTATTTCTAGAGTTTAGGGTTCGAATCATAACAGAAACCAACATTTAGCAAGAACTCTTAATGTAGTTATAACGTTTTCGAATTCGGGTATGTTGTGTTTGTGGACTGCAAGTTTAAAATTTACAATGCGTAAACTTACAATCCTGTGTAAGGACGAGTAAAGTGACTCTGTATTTGTGTGTATACTTATTTCATATTATGACAAAATCATTTAACAGAACACCTTTATTCCTGTGAATACACAGATACCCCCGATTTCAATATGGTGGATGGACGTTAGTAGTTCTTATTAGATTGTGGTAGTATAGAAAAAATAGAATGGTAGTATAACCCAAAAATTAATATTTGATATTATCTCGCATAAGTCAGATTCAAATACAATATAAAGTACTATTCGATACTATCCCGCACGAATCAGATTCAGATACCACAAAAATTAATATTCGATATTATGACGCACGAATCAGATTCAGATACCACAAAAATTAATATTCGATATTATGACGCACGAGTCAGATTCAGATACCACAAGAATTAATATTCGATATTATCCTGCATGATTCAGATTCAGATATAACAAGAATTATTATTCGATATTATTCCGCATGAGCCAGATTCAGATACCACAAGAATTAATATTCGATATTATCCCGCGTGAGTCAGATTCAAATACAACAACAATTACTATTCGATATTATTCCGCATGAGCCAGATTCAGATACCACAAGAATTAATATTCGATATTATCCCGCGTGAGTCAGATTCAAATACAACAGCAATTAATATTCGATATTATCCCGCATGAGTCAGACTCAAATACAACAAGAATTACTATTCGATATTATCTCGCATTAGTCAGATTCAGATACCACAATAATTAATATTCGATATTATCCCGCTTGAGTCAGATTCAGACACAACAAACAAGAATTAATATTCGATACTATCTCGCATGAGTCAGATTCAGATACTACAAGAATAGATGTTAGTATTCTAATATACATAGGTATACCTATAGTTCGCAAAATAAAATTTATTTTGGTATATCTATTTTCAATATAGAAACGAACTTTTCTGTTAAAAAATTAAAACGATAAAACTTATAAGTATGTACCACAAAAATGCGCGACCGGTTTTACTTGTCTGCTTCCCATTAAAAATTCAAAATAATACTGACATTGGATTTGGTTTTTATATAAATATTTTTTATCGTTTTTAACTTCCTTATTAGATAGAATTTAGAATTGTATCAAATACATGTACATTATGTCGAAATAATTAAAAATTAAGAGACTTAAAATATGTACATATGTAAATGTATAAGTGTTTGGTACGTATGTTAAACGAAGTACCAAACCACAAGTGGGAAAATCTCTTATAGTAGAGGCTTATGGTCAGCCGTGAATTTTAAGAAAACAGCTTTAAAACAATATCTTACCCATGTGAAGCCAATACAAGCGATTGCACCGCTCAGCATATCAGCTACGATAGCTGGATACGAATTCGCAGTAGGGAAGTATGCGTGGAACCGTGGTGAGTGCCAGTGTGTTACTCCGGACATAACAACACGTTCTATGTCTGCCATGACCGCGGTCCAGGGTTCAGGCTGTTGTGGAGCCTGCTCGGGAACTAGTGGTCGTAAGTAGCCAGGCTTAACAGATGGTACGACTTGTCTGAAAATATATTAATATTATATTTAAAAGACTCGTTAAGTATTCCACACTCTGTATAAGAGATGAGCTAATAGAGTTGAGATAGACCTTTCATGCCCTTGAGCCACATGATAGCGTTCAAAACATTTCAACTATGGTCACTTCGGTCTTAATTGAAGAGCCATTGACTCCTGTTTTTTTTTTAAAAAAAGACGCATAAATCGATCTAGAAATACAGCTCAAAATCGTGTTTTTACTACTAAGTTGCGTCAAAATATTGCGAAAATAATTATAATGGCGGATTATTGCTACGTTAAGCTATTGCATCAAGGTATTTAAATGTTATCAAAAATGAATACAGGCTATATTCACACTGTTAGTTTATTGTATTTATACATAACATACATACATAAACACTCACGCCTGTCACCCAGAGGGGTAGGCAGAGATTATGGACTTCCATTTGGCACGATCCTGACACACCTCTCTCGCTTCCTCCACATCCATATACCTACGCATACACGCTCGTCGGTTAAAGGTACTCCTAATCTGGCCCATTTTCAATGTATCGCCGATTACGATATAAAAACTCACGTTTAATTGACTTAAGTCGTAATCGTAAACATCAATTACGAGTACTATAATTAGAGACTCGTACATTTGCCCGGTTTTTCCAAACACGATAAAAATTACACTTAATTACTTCAACGAATTGATATGTAATGGCCTTGGCTCAGGTGGACAGGTTTTAGGGGCAGCATTTTGTGAAAACCTTAACATTTTTAATGATGTTACTAAAATTGTCATAAATTTTAATTTCAAAAATATCTTAATACATAATGTAGGTTAGGTAACTGTAAACATGATTAATGGACTTAGTTCTGAAAACAAACATAATCTTTACACATCTTACTAAGGGTAAGCATAAGCATAAAAATACATAGAATCATTTATTTTCAAACAACATATTTAAGACTTTTACCGATTTTATATTTTACGATACCTACTTTGCAAAATGAGGATGGAAATGGAGAGGGTAGGCAATTTTTAGCAACGGGCATAATAAGATAAGTATGCTGTGCTATGCCATTGACAGAATAGGTATAATAGGCATTCTTCACTAAAATAAGATATTTCTATGACCTGATCTCTGCTCAGTATAATGCGTCATTACGCTTTCAACGTAACTTATTTAGATGATGTGTTTTATACGAATATACGTTAATTTCGATGTTGCCATGACAGGCCGAATTCGAAAGACTATTAATTTATTTATTGACTAGGTATTTAATGGAAATATAACAAAATACGGTCATAACATAAGAAATAAATTAATATAAATAGCTATTAAATGTAGAAAGACATTTGCATATTCCACAGTATCTACATACCAGAAGTTGGTACCTAATTATTGTAAAACGCATATGCACATAAGGTGATTTGTATAAACCTCTGTAATTTATGTCACCTTAAAAATATTAGCAAAGTAAAAAGTATAGGTTAATGATACCTACCTATCTCTTATATTTTCCAAATATTCTGCAATGTAATCTGTCATCGCTTTAGCGAAGTCCTTAAAATCTCCCGCTTCCATAGTTTCTGTAAAAAACAAGGTATCTTTTTAATTTTTAATTATATTCAATTTCGTTGGAAGACTTATTTAGTAATAAGACATTTATTACAAAAAATATACATGAATTTGCAACATAAGAGAATTAAAACAAATTACGTTATAAACTTATAACAATATTTAAAAGACCAACGCATTTTTGTAAAACCAAAATTCGACATAGGCACACAAACGAACACAAAAAGAATATGAAAGATTTCTATTATCTTTTTGTAACAAACCGAAATTCAGTTTCACATCTTGCTCCGTCATGGCTTACACCTAAAAGAAATGAAATATGCAACTTTAAAAACTTATCAACTCATTTCAAGGTTTGGACGTGATTAAATTTTTCAATCCTTTTACTTTCGTCTATGTATGTAGGTAATATGACGACTTATTATTAGACGATAAAATTTTGTTTAATACTTATTCTACATAAGTAGAGAATGGGCTATGAAGAATGAGATCCTTTTCTACTATTCATCTCTTACTTATATCTGCCAGCAAGGTATAGTAAATAATATTTACTATATTATATTGTTGTGTGTCTGGTTTGAATGGTATGGGGCACCGCAGTATAATTTCAGGCTATGAAGCATTCTAAGTATTTGACATGGACATGGCAATTCCACAAGGCTGTGTGCTATCACCAACGCTGTTTCTTCTGCATATCAATGATATGTTGCTAACTGGTAACATTCATTGCTATGCGGATGACAGCACTGGTGATGCTCTATACACCGGCCGGGCCAATATTTCTCGGGAAAACGTCGCCGAGTACCGGAACAAACTTGTGTCTGAAGTCGAGTCTTTGCTGGACAAAGTCTCGGATTGGGGGCGACTAAATCTAGTCCAGTTTAATCCTCAGAAGACACAAGTTTGCGCGTTTACCGCTAAAAAGAACCCCTTTGTCGTATCTCCTCAGTTTCAAGGCACTCCCCTTCTTGCCTCAGCCAGTATCGGTATCCTCGGAGTCGACATATCGAGTGACGTGCAGTTTCGTGGTCACTTGGAAGAGAAGGCCAAATTGGCCTCTAAAAAGCTTGGCGTGCTCAGCAGAGCGGGACAGTATTTCATGCCGGCACACCGCCTGCAACTTTACAAGGCGCAGGTTCGGCCTCACATGGAATACTGTTCCCATCTCTGGGCAGGGGCTCCCCAGTGCCAGCTCCTTCCACTTGACCGCATCCAGCGCAGAGCGGCTCGAATCGTCGACGACCGAGCCCTTTCCGATCGGCTCGATTCATTGGCACTGCGAAGAGATGTTGCATCTCTTTGCATTTTCTTTCGCATCTACCATGGGGAGTGCTCTGAGGAATTGTTCGGATTAATCCCAGCCGCCAAATTTCACGAACGCACATCGCGGCAGAACTCCCGATACCATCCACACCATCTGGATGATTGGCGGTCCACCACTGTGCGATTTAGAAGATGTTTTCTTCCTCGCACAACTTCCTTGTGGAATAGTTTACCACCAGGGATTTTTCCGGACCGATACGACTTAGGGACCTTCAAGAAAAGAGCCTACTCCTTTTTAAAAGGCCGGCAACGCATCTGCAATTCCCCTGGTGTTGCGGTTGTTCATGGGCGGCGGTAGTCACTTACCATCAGGTGAGCCGCATGCTCGTTTGCCCCCTCTCCTATAAAAAAAAAAAAAAAAAAAAAGACACGCTTGGCAGGTGGATTGGCGATCGCAGCACCAGGCGCTTCACATTTTTTGACGCTCCTTCCCGTCACTGGTCTGGCGTTGTTACGGGGCGTACACATTATATAACATAACATGTTATATAACATGTTTCAGTGATGTGGAGGCTGAATGTTATAAAAAGTGTTATATAATGTGACACAAATGTTATATAGCTCGAACGGCAGAACGACAAACGCCAATGTCATACGACAATCTCATATAACATTGTTATATTGCTTTGTTATTCTAATGTGTACAGTATTGTTATATCCTGCAATGTTGAAAAACAATGTTACATAATGTGGACGTGTTATAAAACAAAAGTTACACAACATGTTACTTAATCTGTACGCACCTTTAGATACGCACAATAAATTATGTATCTAGTGGTCGAAATCCATTCATTATAAAATAATTCATAACATTTTTTGATTTGTTTAATAAGCAAGATGTATTTCACTTTCAACTGCACATTAATATACTAAACACAGATATCTAATATACAAAATATAAAATAACTAAGCACTTTTTTCCCTTGACACGCACTCCAGGGACTATTTTAAAAATTACACAAATTTCACAGCTTTTGTTGGCCATATTATAAAATTCTTTGCCGACAATCTTTACACGTGGTACAGCCACGCTGCAGCTATATTATGGTTATGCATGAACAGGTCGGCTCGACCGGGATAGAACCACAGTAGAACCACGCTCTCACTCAATATCAGAGTAAAATAGCAGCTTGATACTGCTGTGTTTCGTATAGTGAGTGTAGAGAACCGGAGACCCTTTTTACTGGAAACGAGACATTCCATCTTAATCCTCAGGGCTGACAACGCATCTGCATTTTGATTCTTGATCGAGGATAAATGAAGATGTTTATGGGCCACAGCATCCACTTATCATGACTGTGTGTGACTGTGTGCGACTGTGGGCTCGTGTGTCAACATTATTCTATAAAAAAAATCTCTATTCTGTGCGAATGTTTCACCACAGAATATTAAGTGTTTGACATACGACAATGGGTTTGACATTGGCACTATGAACGTGAATAATGTATGTTTTATTTTATTTATTTGTAACGCATAATATATAATATAAATTTTAGCTTTCTGCACTCCTTTATAGAGTCTTTAAAAAATAGCTACAAAAAATTTCCATGAAATATAAATATATAGATACATTAATTTTACATTAACAATACAGTCGTTATTTAATTTAAGATTATTCTGCTAACATGGTTAACAAACATAAAAAGAGATCCATTAAAGCTGGTCCTTGTTCAATGCCGAGAGAGCGGTGTTGTGTACTAGTGCGCGGCAGTTGCACAATCTGCGGTAAGCAACACGTGCGAGGTTATATTCACCACGTAGCTGCCTAACTTTGTAATGGACACAAAATTCCTATGGCGAATAGTAATTTATACATTAAACTTGAGTAATAAGCTAATAAGTCTAAAGGCTAACGAGATAAGAAAAGTCTGGCAGACTTATTTCGTGGGTCGGCAAATACCACAAGTGCAGTTTGACTTAGGTTAAAGGCACTCAGGAATACAGTCCTCCAGCCAATACCTATTTCGTGGACTTTTAAAAGATGTTCCGGATTGTGTCAAGCTCAAGTTGCAAAAAAAATATTTTCAGACCCTAAAATAGTTGCAGTACCGACTCATTTGGTGTCCCTCATTCGAGGTCTCTATGAATACAAATACAAACACTCACGCCTGTCACCCAGAGGGGTAGGCAGAGACTACGGACTTCGATTTGGCGCGATCCTGACACACCTCTCTCGCCTCCTTTACATCCATATATTTACGCATACACGCTCGTCGGTTAAGGGTACTCCTAATCTGGCCCATTTTCAATGTATCGCCGATTTGGTCAATAAATCTTCGTCTAGGGCGTCCCTTCCCGACTTTACCGTTCACTTCTGAAACATAAATTTGCTTTGTCACTCTTTCCTCGTTCATTCTTTCTACGTGACCAAACCACCGAAGCATTCCATTTTTAATCCTAGTCACAACGTCATCTTGCAAATCCCACTTTTCTCTTATCACAATATTTCCACCCTTTCATTCAGATTCAGCCCTAGCATACTCCGTAATGACCGCATTTCTACAGCCTTTATTCTACTCTCATGCTTCTTCTGCCATACCCAACTTTCACTACCATACATTAAAGTAGGGACTAACACACCATTATGAATTGCCATACGTGCCTTCTTTGACACATTCTGACTCTTCATAATAGCGTGTAGAGCCCCATTAACTCAATTTCTAATAAGAAATAGAGTCTCTATGAATTTGATTATATTATTATAATAATAATTTGGATATTATAATGAGTAACAAATATTCTAGTCAAATTTAATTTATATTAGATATGATTAAAATCTACTTAGATGGTATGAAAGATGGTGTAATTATCCAATGTGCTCTATGCAGGCGTCTGATGGCCGAGCTGAAAGCGACTGGAAATAGTAAGTATGGACAAAGGTTTTAGAATTAGCAAAGGCTTATTTAAAACAGACTGGCAAGATGTACCAGAGCAAGTTTATAAAATCGTCAAATAGGTGCGGTAAATTTTGCTCCATTATCTCTACGAACACAAGTACATTATACTTCATTGACAATGACATGGCATGACAGAATCATCGAAGAAAAAACTAAAACAACAAGCATTAATCATGAGCTGTGGTGATCCTGATAATTATTTTATTTTATCCTGGTGATCCTGATCATAATACTTGGATAAAGTTGTTAAATTATTCTATTGTCATCGATCCTTGATACGAGTGCAAATTTTCAACATAATGGTCCGTCTACAAGTTGGTGAAAATTACATTAAAAGATTCCGTTACATAGATAGATAGATACATGTGAAACTAATATAATATAATAGATAATTAGAGTGTGTTAAAAAGTAAGAAATTACCTTGAAGCTGTTTTTTTTTTTCAATTAATTAAGCTAGGATTCAAATATGGATACCTAATTGCATAGGATGCAAATACGTAAATAATGTAAAACCTATTGAGTTTTATGTGGATCCGCTTTGTCAATTACAATATTAACGGTCATACAAATAATTATTGATGATATTTTGGCCTGGCAATCGGCTAAGTGACTATGAAGATGTTCTACGAATATAATATATTGGAAGTTTTTATCTTTGAAATACAAATTATTGTCAATAGAATACAAGAAAATCCTGTGTGACAGTAGGTACTGCAGAAATTCAACAAAGAAGTCTTATTGTCCTTAAACTTCGCGACTCCCATATAATTGTAAGTAGTCTTATATACTAGCGACCCGCCCCGACTTCGCCTGGGTGGTATTTATAAATGTCATTTATGAAATAATTTTAATTTAAGATCACTCATCAAAAATCATTTTTATTTTCTTTATTGCGCTGGCTGACTTAGCGGTCAATCACCGCAGTCTATATCACCTGAAGATGCGTCGTGTAGAGGCGAAACACGTGTCGTATTGTCGTCAGTGATGTGTCTTTCCTAGTTTAGTAGTGTTGGGAGTAGTGGTGCTGGGATTAGTGGTTACGGGGATAGTGCACGCAATTGAAGGAGGGCGGG